TGGAGAACAAAAACATGTCATGTCAGTGTGTGTTAAGCTGAGGACGCAGGGCCTGAAGTCCTAACACAGCAAACAGACGGGACTTACCCAGAATATGATGTTGAATCCGAAGATGAAATACTTGATGCAGCAGCTCACTTCATGAGCCTTGAAATGCTTTCCTGACATCATCTTGGGATGGATGTTTGTGTTCAACGCCGCCCGCAGAGGGAAATGATCACATCTATGGTCCTCTTATGTTTGACAGCCTGGTTGTGGAAACACCTTTTTTTATTTGTTAAGGCTCGACAAACGCGCCGTCAATTCTCTCAGCGCCTGATAATAAACATTCTCCTGGATATCCGCGGACAAAAGGCGCAGGTGGAGCCGCAGATCTGCCGCTGTGTCCGCAAACACCGCACTTTATTCCCGGTACGGATCTCCAAAGGTATAACGGAGAAATAAATCCATTGAAGTCAACCAGATTAAAACCGATGGTCTTCTATCTGACCCATAATCTAGACATGGCTGTTATGTGATAGGCACCGGTGAGAGCCAATGAGAGTCTTCAGTGGTCAGAGGGGGCGGGACTTCCTCCAGCAGAGGGCGTCACTGCCCCCGTATGACCGTGAGTTATAGTGTGCCATGATATTTAATCACTTAGAGTATAATTTATTCATCGCTGACTAATTTATTTGGCTTATAATAGGAAACTCGACTATAAAATTAGAGCTTATTAGACCTGTTGGGCTACGGGGACCCGGTGTGGCCAATATTAAATAAATCAAGTTGACATAATGGAATAAATAATCAGATGTAAACATGTAAAACAATAATTAAAAGGAATCCTGATATTTAATCCTGCCTCTTTTCATTATAGCAGACTTTATTTTGGCTGATTTTATTTTTTTGTTTTAAAATGTCTTTTGTGTCTTTGTGTCTCAAATCACCACCACCTTTAAATTAATTTTTCAAATCAGTTAATTCATGTTTTAAATTATCTTTAAATGTCCTTATATATTGGATTGTCTTGTCTGTTTATGTTCATTCTGTCTATTTTCATGTGTGCTTACAATGCCCTTTCTGTACTGCACTTAATGCTGCATTTCTTGTACAAAAGTTGCTATATAAATGCAGTTTATTTTTCTTAAAAACACTTTTATTTCATAAAGGGATATAAAATAATAAAGTACAAAAAAAAGAATGAAAATAATAACATAGAAAATAAGAATGAAAAATGGAAAAAAATTAAATAAAAAAACAACTTCTGGTTGCCTGTAGACTAAAAAAAGATCTGCAATAATAACTTGTAAAAAAAAAAAATAAGCAGGATAAAAACACAAAGTTAAAGTAAAAATATATCTAGGCTATTTCACATTTTTTGTCTGTATTAAATCATATCATTTTATAATGTTGTAGGTATGTATATAATATTGATTGTAGAAAACAAGGGTCGCTCACTCTGGTTCCACATCGCATTTCTTTTATTTTGATGATGTTTCAGTCTTTGGGTCTTCTTCAAGATCAGCAAAATCAAGTCTGCTGCCAGAGATCAGCACCTCATTATAATTCTTAGTTTCCTTTTATATCTTAAATTTATATAGGCCTAATATTGAACATTTTTAATGACAAAATAAGTCTGCCCAAAGAGATGGAAATGTGGCACAGACATTACATATCTAATTCGTGGTGCTCAGCAGTGACTATACAGTGGTGGAAAAAAGTTTTCGGACACCCTTAAAATTTTACACAATCTCAAATATTATCATGAAATATTTGTGGAAAAATCTTTTTTGTGTTTCAAAAGGTGTGGCTGCATTAGACAGATATAAACAAATACAAATTATATTTTTTTGTTTATTGTTTACAAGAAAAACTAACAAAACTAAATTCTTGACAGTTTCAATATGTCAGTTCTCAACATTGTCGGTATCAAAGTCAACAAATAACAGAGAATGTGTTCAAAACTGAACAAAAAATAAATAAACCATCACATCATCAAATTAATATTCAGTAGTCCTGCCATTGGCACGTAGTAGAGCTCTAATCCTGGCTGGCATGTTCCCCACGAGCCTTTCACACTGTTGAGGGGTAATCTTGTCCCATTCTTCTTGAATTACTGCTTTTAATTCTTCTAAATTCTTTGGTTTATGCTTTGAAACAGACCTTTTGATAATCCACCACAGATTTTCAATGGGGCTCATGTCTGGGGATTGAGCTGGCCACTCTAAGACCTGGATACTGTGCTCCTGCAGCCAAGTTCTACTGGCCTTGGATGTGTGGCAAGGGGCATTATCTTGTTGAAACATCCAGTTTTTACCTCGACGGAACAGTGCACGCGCAGAAGGGAGCATGTGGGTTTCGAGAATGGTACAATACTTGGTAGAGTTCAATGTGCCATCACAGACAGTGAGATGACCAACACCAGCAGCACTCATGCATCCCCAAACCATGATACTGCCTCCACCATTTTTGACAGTAGGTACTGTACATGCTGGAGATAATGCTTCGCCTGGCCTTCTGCGTACCCTCACATTAGTAGGAGGAAGATAAAGCTGGAAACTGGACTCATCTGACCACAAAATCTTCTTCCAATTCCTGGCTGTCCAGTTCTTGTGTGCCTGGGCCCAACGACGCCGGGCTAACCTCTGTCTCTCATTGATCAGGGGCTTCTTGATAGCCTTGTAGGACCTTAAGCCATGATCTAAAAGTTGGCCACGTACAGTGCAGGTGGAACACTGGACACCAGTTTGGTTTGACCACTGCTGCTGAAGCTCCTGTGATGTTATTGGGCGGTTTTGCCTGCACATGCGGATCAGGATGTGGTCATTTCTTGCTGAAGAAACCCTTGGACGCCCAGATCTTGGTTTGTCTTCCAAGCTGTTGGTTTGTCTGTATTTCTGCAGAGTGTATCCAACTGCTGAAGGACTGCATCTGCACTTTCTGGCTATCTGGTGGCAGCTGTATCCTTCCTGGCTGAGAATCTTTATCTTCAGGCTTGTTTCCTGTGTTAGATTCCTTGTTTTAGCCATTTTTGTGTCTGAAGAACTTTCAAATTTGCTGGCTTTATGTAGACACGAAGCTTGGCAACAAAAATTGTGTCTTTTTATAAAAAGAACGACCTTCATCACTGGTACCAAAATGACCCAATACTCAAAATTTCTTATGTATTTTTATGGAAACAATCAATTTTAAGTTTTTAATGGCTTTTTTAGGATTTATTTAGTATTTTGGCTGTGACTGTACTAAAAGAAATTGCACTTGAAGACCTAAGAGTGATTCTTAATGCAATATTTCACAAATGCATGGGGTGTCCGAAAACTTTTTTCCATCACTGTACCATCACTATACTGTACCATGATACTTTTTTTGTTTTACATTCTCTTGTAGAGCATCTCAGGCTTTTTTTTCCCCTTTTAATTCCATATCTTAAGATTTAGATTATATATCCACCATGATGTGCAGAATGAACCCCAGCATAGAATTAAAGCAGCTTTATATTTTACATTTCTTCATAGGGTCTATGCTACGATTTATAGACATCATTAAATGCATCTAGTTACTATTCTTTGCCCAGTCCTCGTGTGAGTCAGTATGCATGGGACCACACAAAGTGCCAGTGTATCTTTTGCCCATGTATCGATCTGTCTGACATATTACTACTGCTGATGGCTGCTTGTTTCTGCCTGTGAGTTGTTTGTATGGTCTGGGTTAGACTGTGAAACTGAATTGTGCCTCTGGGATAAATAAAGTTGTCTGAACTTAACTGAACTTAACTTCCTGTTCTATAAATGATCCAGGGATATTTTTACATAGGTTTTGGGACTGTCCTCTCATTGCTACTCTCTGGAGATTTGTTAATGATTCTTCATCAGATTTGACTGGGTCTGAGCTATGATCCAAATCAGTCTCTTTGTCTTCTAAAGGGCAATTCATCCTTTACTCTTACTGGATGCAGGCTGCTGTTTAAAGGCTTCACAGCTGCAAAGAAGATACATTAACAAACGAGGTACACACCGAGTCTCTCTTTGAGTTCATACTGGATTTTGACCTTTAATAAAATTGCAAAGTTAAAATGTACAATAGATAAGATGACTGTACCCTAGGACAATAAGGACATTGGCGTATATCATAGCAGCCCCTGATACTCTATTGACTTACATGCTTTAACCTCAGCAGCCAGCATACACACAGTACTGATTCATTTGTCCACTGTATGCCCAAAAATCTGTATATCTAACACCCTGATCAGTCTGCTGTGCAGGACCGTGGTGGTTCTGGATATTAATTCAGTCACTTTAATCAATTATTTTAATTTTCCTACACTACAGATAGAAGTATTTTTGGAGTCTTTGTCAGTACTGAGAGAAATAAAATAATGGATGAGGAGAAACTTTGCCCCCTGGTGGAAAAACAGTGTATCATCTGCTTCACTGTTACTCAATACATGAGAGACAAAAAGCTACAGCATGTCAAATTAAACATGAAAGAATATTTTTGATACATGCATCATTCCAAAATGTGTGTGTGATTTGTAAAAAAATAAATAAAAATAAACACTGGCAGTCATTTTGATTATTGGCTTGGTTTATTGCATAAAATAAAATAAGTACTAATCTATTACAAATATTTGTTTACAAAACAGGATAAATTATGAAAATAAATATTTCTGTGCAGTTCGTCTGTATTGTCAATGCAGGCAGAGAAAAACTGAGATTATATACACATGTAAGTCTACTAACAAAAGAAAAAAAAAAGAGACTTGACTCATCGTTATGAGATCATAATCATACCTCATGTCAAGACAAACATCATATTGCAAAGGGCAGCATTAAACAGGCCGTCCTGTTCACACCAACGGCTGTATCAGAGGGTGATTCATACACACAGTCCGCCATGGACTGAAAATGAAAAGTATTATTGGGCACTACAACAGCTTTTTTTTTTATCACATTGACTCCAAAATTCCTCCTGGAGATAAAACTAAAAAAAAAAAAAAAAAAAAAAAAAAAAACAGTTTGGCAATACAAAGGTAGTAATCATGCAATATCAAAAACCACTCACCCTTTCATTTTGGCTGCACTTCACTTAGAAAAATATTGTTTTGGATTCAACAAAATATTTCAGCATCTCACAAAAATAGCTTTTTTTTCTTCCTTTTTTCTAAATCATGATCCTTCATTTGACCCTGCGTGTGCGCGCGAGTCGGCATTCCCAGAAGCCTCTCCATGAGGACGGGAGTCAAATAATAATCGTTAACACAGCTTGAGGCAGTTTTTAAAAACAACTTTTAAAACAATGGTTTGTGGTGAAAAAAAAAAAAATAGCTTTGGTGATCCTTGTCGTTTGGGGTTAGTGTTTTGCAACACCCAGCGTACTTCCCTTTTATATTCTACAGAATTTCTATTCAGTCCTGCCAAATGAACACTGATAAGTTAGATGAGGTTTTCAGGTCAGAGCTAATAAAGCCTAATCCGACCCACATCTTAACCAAAACCTTATTCCCAGTTATGTAACGTAATCATTACACTGCATTTCCCCTTTTTAGAGCAAACAGTTTCCAATACATCACACAAGAACACAATGTACCTTCATTTGCTTCTGTGCTCCGTTATACTGTTTGATTAAGGCTTTTGCACAGTTTTCAATAATATGTAGCACAAAGTCTAAAATACTGAGCCTGGAATAAATAACCCTGAAGAGAAGTTTAAGAGCTGAGACATCCTGTAAAACAAACAACAAACAAACAAACAAAAAAAAAAAATCTGCCGTGAAATGTTTAGTATGCGAAGATGTTCATGAAGCAAAGTTTTGAGTATTGTAATTATCGTCGCAGTGTGCATTTAGCCAACGGCTTTGAGAACCATCTTCATTTTGTGCAAAACATATAATTATCTCCTTGACTAGTCGATCATATTTAAATACATTTTGATTTCACATTCTTTTTTGTTTTTTTGTTTTTTTTACTTTGGGTTTTTGGCCAATGTCGAAGGGTACCTGTTCACTCAGTAAAATATGAATGATATGCTTTTCCTTGGAAAATAACTGCATATAACATTGTTAGTTAACACAACTAATACAGAAGTATATTAAACACATTTCTTTTATACTACCTTTTAAAATCACAATAGCATGCTGGAAGCAGAACATAATACACCCAGAACAGAGAGAAGCGTTTTGCGTGTGTGCGGCTCAATCCCAGGATAAATGTTGGCATTGTACATTGAACAACATGTGGGCAGTTTTAGGCACAAAAACTATTTGGTTATGGTTGGTAAAAGATCCTGTTTTGGCTTAAAATACATGCTGTTTGTGGCAGTATCTCTGCTGGAAAAACCACTGCTTTTCATGTCTAAAAAGCCGCAAGAAAAACAGCGACGGGTTGCTACAAAACACCCATGTTTGGTGCCTAAAAAGAGTGCCACATACTGTAGGTGACACCCCATGCACCTCCAGACAAAGTCAGCTAATACACTACCTCACTTTAGAAACGTTGACACAATATGTATGAAATGTAACCTATTTGTGGTTCGCAGAAATGTACAATACCAACATTTCTTCCAGCGACTGGCCTGTGTGTTTCTGGCATTTCAAATACAAAACACCCATCCACAAAGAGGGCAGGCACGACAGCCTGAATCCATTATGCATTTAAAAACACATAAGGCTCGGTGTGAAATACTTGTAACACTTCTGTGGCATCTTATGAACCAGCTTGTTGATTCACTGAGCATAGTTAGATCGGCTAAGCAATATAATATGAAGCATTAATGCATTATGCATTAATCACAGTCAGTGAATCCAGTGCTTTATTGTTTCTAAATATGATTTCATAATGGCCAGACTGCACCTATGAGATGCTATACTTATGTTTATAAAGGCAATACAACGCTTTATAATGAGGTTTTCCGAGTTACTACAAAATGTACAAAACCGTCTTCTTATTAAAGAAACCTGAAATGCATAATACTAATACTGACATGATCTCATAAACAAAGCCTGAGAGTATGTTTTTAACACTGTTAAGGTTTCTTGGCTTTGATACTGTGTTGTTTAAAAAGTCACCCTTTCATCATCATGTTAGACTAATTTTGTAACACCTTTTGTTCTTTGACAGAGTTGCATAAATACTGTTGTGTAATGACACCAGACAGGGATGGAAAAAGGACAACATAAATCCTCACAGTTGGCCACAACGTGCATCACCTACATCACCTGGTCACAAGTGGCCGCAGAGATGCCATATTGTTCGGACACATCCTGCTGAGAAGTGTTAAAGCACGACCAGCAGAGCAGCACATGTGAGTCCCCTTATGTGACCTTGATGGCAGTCTTCTTGTGGAGGAAGAGGAAGGAAATGTAGGGCACGCCGATGAAGGCCCATTTCTCGTTGGGCCAGAACATGATGACCGGTCCTCGCTCCGGGGCCTCGGTCGCGACGTCGAAGTAGGCGAAGCAAACGCAACCCAAGTAGGAAGCCAGGCAAATGAGGATGTGCCTGTAACAGCAAGAGGAGTTTGGATGAATGAGTGAACTGCCTGAGAAATGGGTCGCTAAATATATCCGGGTGCTGCCTCTGTTATTTGAGCCTCTAAAAACTCATTTTCTTAGAGGAATACATCACCCGCAAAATTACCATTTGTATGTAGAGTTAGTCACAGCATGTTACTTTGAATTAGTTGAGAAAACTTTGCTTTTTTTGGGTTTTCCGATCACCATAGAGACATGCAAGGAAAACAAACATCCTTCATAAATTGATCTAAACAGGGATTGTGTTAAACAACAGCAAAACTATATCAAAACATCTGTTTTCATAAGGAATATTTGCCTTTTTTGGATTCTACGTTCACCGAGGACACATGCAGGAAAAACAAAGATTTCTTAATAAATTCAAGGTAAAATGGTGAGTAATTGATATACATACGGTCATTTGCTGGTGAAGTATTCATTTAAATATAGACAGAAATGACCTGATAAAAGATTTTTGTAGTGTAACAGCAGAAGTTTTGATAATAGTAACCTAACTAATGTCAAAAGAGTAGCCATTATTCTGACCCTTATAATCGTCCACACTAGAGTAAGTTTTCTGAGTCTTTTTTGAGCTTACCAAGCACAGTGTAAGTAGGGAAAGTTGACAGATGACCACATCTCACAGAATATCCTGTCACTGATCCAACAAAGCAGAGCCAGTGCCCACCAGATCCCTGAGACCAGACCCAACTTGAACACACGTGGGTTTTCACACCTGCGATGACGAAACAGAGCACTGAGAAACATGTACAACTGTGAAAACACACACAAGTTCACACAAGTTTTGACAGCTGAGAAATAATCGAACTTACAGATAATGCCTAATGTAGTATGTTTTCATTTTATGTCACAAACCCCCCCCCCCCCAAAAAAAAATCCCAAAGAAGACATTTTTTGCCGTCTTTGATGGGCAAGTCTCAAAGTGAAAGAGAAGCAATTTCATGCAGTCTAAAAGAGAGTGTGACAATAAACGAAATAAAACGTGTCAATGTATCCGCAAGCATTTCAGAGACTGAGATAAATTGTTGCTAATAGTTTAGCTTTCTGATTACTGGAGCCAAACACTCAAGGCTGCGGCTTCATGTCCACATTAATGTAGCTATCGTTAGAGCCTCGGATCACGGTTCGTCCTTCACCTCACTCCCCACCGCTACAGACCAGCTTGCAGTGAGGAGAGCAGGCAGCACCTCTGGAGTTGGAGTCGCCAGTCAGTGGCTGCAGCAACCTGAAACCCAGTGCCATGCGACTGGACAACCCCGACTCCCTTGGCCACCAGCCTGGTGTGTCACCCAGCGCTGGGGGGTTTGCGCTAGCTGAATTCAAGCTGCTACAGACATCATCCGAGAGTCCATCTCTTGAGCTGCGGCCTGCTCTCCTCCTGTGGAAACACTCCACATCAGTGGGCAGCGAGGTGAAGGGATGGTGGGGTGGCTAACGTAAAACACTGGGTTACTGAATGAAGTGTGTGCATATGCCCAAGGTCGTCTGGTAGGACAGAGAGGAGGAGAAGGATGTAATTTTGAATTATGCTGGGTTTCTTTCTGCCTACCCGAGCTTTAAGACTCCAAAACAGCAATAATTAACGACCATAGGGTGAGGATGTCTCTCTCAGAATACACTGGGCACTGTGTCCAGTTTTGGTTGTGTACAAATCCCCCCTGCTTGTTATGAGGTTTTGTAATGATTTTACTGCCTGTGATGTCCACTCTTAGCTAGGGTGCTATAGTTACAACTGAAATATGTTCATACCAGGAAGACAAATTATATGTTAGCACATTTATTTTTGGATGAGGGGATTATCTTCTCTTTCTTTTTGGAGCCTGACAGAACTGTCCGAGGCATTCTGGTCTCTGCGCACATATCTCAGAGTGGACACTCCACTGACTTACAGAGACATGTGCTAATCCAACGTGCGGCTGATAAAACTATTCTTAGTAATGTCCTCCTTAGACATACCAGTTAGAGCCCTGCTGCTGGCTGAGGCCAAAACAAAGACAGGGGCAAGGAGGCCTGACCGAACTGTGCTGATGATGCAACTGTTTAGTCACTGTGAGACAGTGTGTCACCTTCCTTTATGACTGGGCATTTCATGAAGTCATAGTATTTTACGAGCCTTTAATTTGAGTTGCCATTGTTTCAAGGTGAAAGGAATGTTGGAATGACGCAAACATTTTGCATAAAGTATGACAACATGTTAAGATTTCAATAAACAAGAAGCATCTCTCAGCTGCAGAGGCCATGGAAACTGCTGGTCTACAGTGAGTGAGCGTCCATGACGTCTCTGTGACAGTGGAAAGAACAGTAAAGACATTCTGCCATTTTAAAGCTAACTTATGGAGCTTTATCACCTTATAAAGCTGTAAATGCAAATGTATTAGCCAACAGTTGCTTTGCATTAAGATGAATGAGTTCAACATTCACTCTCATTTAAAGCACTTGGTTTTAGTCTCACTTGCCGCTCCGCTACGTTTTGCATTTAACAATTAACAATTATAACATTTGTTTTAAAATTGTCATCTTCATTTAAAAAGCACCAAAATCAGGATAAATCATGTAATTTGTAAAAACAACAAAAATGGCGGTAATACCTAGGGGTGTAACAATCAATCGATCTGCATCGATATATTGATTCAATGATATATCATTGATGCAAAGTGAAAACATTGCTCCGTATCACCATCTTTGGGTTACGCCTCCATTTTGAAACTCTGTCACACCGTCAAACAGCAGCAGGCAGACAATGGCAAGCAGCCAAGAGATAAACATAACGTTATTAACTTGAAAATTAATCAGCAGTGTGGAAATGTTTTCAATTTCAGAGAAAATACGGGTCAACAGACAAAGCATATGCTGTGTGTAAACAATGCTGTTATGAGATAAAACACGAAGCACCTGACTAGGCTGCTTTAATTAAACAATGTTTAGCTGAAATAACGTGTTTGCAGGCTAAAAGTCAACCATGCTGCTCAGTTGAGAGATGTAAGAGATGAGTAAGTAAAATCATAAATAGTACGTGTAATTTGTGAAGCTACGAGTAGAGTTGCTAGGCTGATTTATGCAATGTAAAAGTGCTCAACCTGATAAAAGGTAACAAGCAAAAAACAACACTCTTGTCACTTAACCTTTACAGTTATTATTAAGGTGAATATTATACTTTTGTTAAGTGATGTTGCTGTTAATCCATGTTTTATGGCTGTTAAAGGAAGTTTGCCTTCGAGAAGTTTAGGCAAAAAATGATGGTTTGGGTTCAAATGAAACATTTCTTCCACAGTGTTTTCTGGCAGAAAGCCCTGAAGGCTGACTTACTCCATGAGCTGTTCTTTGTGTGTTAATGGAGTCAATTTAAAGTAAACTTAACTGCACTTCTCTTTTATGGCCAAAAGCAAAAAAGGATCAGGGTTGGCAGGTACTTCTGTAACAGACTGTGTTAAATGGGCATATGATATCGTCTCTTATTGATCGCAGGGCCCTATATCACATCAACTCGAAATTGTCTTGTGGCAGACTTTGTAACATCTGCAAATATCACATAGTTGTCCAAAGAATCAATATAATACTGTATCATGATTAAACTAGTGATTTACACTCTGGTAATACCACATATCACACTGTTGAGCTTTATCACTGCAAGTAAAATTCCTTCACATTCCCACAATGACCACTATCACGTTACATGTCGTCAACTGATCCTTTGTTTACATAGAAAATATTGATCAGTGCCGTTTCAATGCTTAAATGAAGCTCAATATTTGTAGAGAAAAGTCATACAGTCAGTGAAGTGTCTCAGAAATGTTGGCAAACGTTAGATATGGTTTTGTAACTCATATTGCCCACCATAAGCAACGCTATGGCAGCAAAACCTCTGAGTACAGTGTGCGTCATGACAAAGATTGTGTTTTGTCTTCTTTCAAAAGACACAGCCTCACATGATGTGAAGAAAGTCAATGAATGAACCAAACTGGAAACATGTCAGTATATGTTACATAATTGGACCATCAGAGGGGGCAGATATAAATGGTGTCATGGCTGCTCATCAGCAACAGGAAGTATAAAAATAGATGACCAATGATACGACCTTCCAGAGGGAAATAGGCCATTAAACTGCCATCAATATTCTATTATATTGTTAAGTGTTTCGATCGGTTATATTCACATGAGAGCTGTGCCTCGGGGACTGCACTAAGCCAGCTATAGGCTCGGTTACTGACTTTACATACAGTGCATCTGCCATAAGACAAATCTATCGCAGCACAGCTTGATATCTGGTGCCTATCAGCTCAAACAGAAGCATGTCAGATAAGACACATGACATGAAACAAGGACTTCTCCTTAAAGACGCAAGAGCTCATGAGTGTGATAGAAAGTTTGACTGTGGGAGGCGGTGATAAGTAAAGGAAAGGACAGTCTGTCTATCTGGGGTGGAGCACTGCTGAGATGCTTCTCTCACCCAGGGGAAAAGAAAGGAAGAGGCTCCATAGGATCAGCATAGGATTTCTCAACGACGCTGGTGGTCTTCATTCATTGGCTTTAATAATATAAATGCTTAGCTTCCATTTGAGATGCCAGTACTCTATTAAACAATGAGTAATACAATGAACAATGAATAATAACAAGTCATGTTGTATTGCTCATACATACATGAGTCTGAGCCGACAGGAAACGAGCCGTCAGACTGGCTGTAAACAAGCTGGATTATCTTAACATCTTTATTGTGAGGTAAAACTGAACGTGAGCATCCCCTCGATGTTGGTAATTATCCCTCAGTGCACTGGGAAAACGTGTTTACGCACAGCTGTACGGTTGATCAAGCTGCATCAGAGAGGCTGTCTGTAAACTACAGTATGATGGGTGTGTACAACAAATAGTTTGGGTACATTTCTCCGCTTCTGTTCAGGAAAATTTTGCCAAGATTCCTACATTGATGTATTTATAGGTCACAGTAAAAATGCAAGCAGAGAATGGTAAAGAAGAGACAGTGGAAGACAGAGATAGCTTTTAAACACCCCTATTTTAACTTTCAAAATTGGTTCAAATATGTTGTCTTTACAAAATATACTTTACTTCCAAATATGTTCAAAATGATCGTCTGACTATACTTGCACTTCTCACCCTATCAAACTTTTAGCGAGGTCAACACGTTCAAAGATCTCTAACAAACTTGATGAGTTACAATGTTAGGCAACACTCTGTTTGGATAGTCCGCCTGCAGATATTTTACAGAGTATTTGTAACATTTCAGCAGCTTTTAGTTGAGACTCAACAATCCCACTGTTTCTCTTTATTCTGTAAATGTTTAACAGATGATCTTTAGAGTATATGTGACAGTTCATAAACATATCTACATGTTCTCAGAATAATCAAACCTGTTGAACTTGAACTTAAAGCAACTCTTACCTTTCTTGCATTTCACACAGCACTTAGAAAAAATTTGAACATCCACAACTCCTGCCTCCCTCCAAAGTCCCAACCCCCCTCCTCCATTACGTCCTCATTATGTCTATGATAGACGTAGGCGTTGGCGAGGTAACGTTAGCTACACGGAAGAGGAGAGCGAGTGTAACATTACACCCAAGACAGTCAAACGCAACCCCGGAGTTTTAAAACTCAACCGGAGTCAGTGATGACTGATGAGTTTTAGAATAAGGTTACAGTGCTAACGTTGGATAGTAGCGTTAACTTTGCTAGTAAGTAGAAACGCACAAGGAAGATAACGTTAATGTTTCAGAGGCTACGCCACAGTAGGCTAACGTTAGCCATTAGCACTGGATGCTGTGTTGTCTGTGAAGAGATGGTACGTGAGCGGTGACGTCAGTCAGAGGCCTCCACGTGATTGGTCAGAGTTTTCTTAGAACCATATGAGGATGATATAATTATGAGTTTTTATCTCTGGTGGAATTCACTTACATTTTAGTGTGCCATCAGCTTATTAATAGCATTTTAACCTAAACAAAAAAATTTCCAGAAAGGTAAGTGTCGCTTTAAATGAATAATTCAAGTTCAACTACATTTTTCTGAGAATATGTGGTGAATTGTTAGATAAACTTTATAGATAGACATCTACGGACAAAGTGAAAATGCTGAATTGTTGAATCTCAACAAATAAGCTGTTGAAATGTTACTAAACTATCTATAGGTAGACTATCCAAATATAGTGTCATCCAATATTGTTACGACAGAAAGGAAATGATGGCAAAGCTATGAAAATAAGACACGAGTTGTAGTAAACCAGAATCATCCTGTATGCTAAAGCTGCCCCCTGACGGTTGACCAAACGTTAGTTGACCAGAAAGGTCATTGGTCAGCAAGATTTCATTGGTTGCTCAGTCATAGAAAAACAAAACAACGACAAAAAAACCCATTAAAACTCTATCAGGAGCTGTGCCATGTCAAAAAAAAAAAAAAATTCAAAATTATATGACTGGACCATGTGGGACTTTAATTTGAAAGAACAGACACAGGAAGTGTCCACGCTCAGCAGTCAGACAGGAGTCACGTTAATTTCCAGGGCTGGTACCTGTGGTTATTCCACAGGCTAGTTAATAACATGTCGGGTAGGAAATCCAAAGTGTGGGATCATTTTGAGAAGGTGAAGGACGAACACAAGGTGATATGTAAACTCATCTTCATTGGTCGACTACAAACATGACGTATCATCTGAAATATGGAAGTAGCTACATGCCCATTAGCCACTTAGCACAATCATTACTGCTTTGCCGACAGCGTCATTAACAGGCGGCTTGCTCAGTGTGTGACGTGCACTTGTAGATAAAATATAGGCCTATATTAATGAAGGTTCATTAGTACGGTTTTGTATTTCTCTGTAATGTAGCACAGTGTTAACAATGTTACTGATACTATTCTTTCTCATACCTTCAACTCAAACCATTGTGTCGCCCCGCCCAAAATATAGAATTCAATAATGAAATTAATATTGTAAACTTAATATTAATATTAATTTATTGTAACCTTAGCTCTCTCATGCACAGAACCAGTTTTCAGACATAATCACTTTGGTTTGTCTCACTACTCTCCTTCACGAACAACTCAGCTATTACAGCACAACTATGACTGGTATTTTTGCTTCGGCAGTATTATTTGTGATGAATGTCCTATACACAGGACAAGCTGTTCTTGTTCAACTGGAAGTGACTTGGCTGACAGCCATACTGTAAAAAAAAACAACCCTAACCCTAAGCAAACAACAAATAAGTCTGTCGTTTCTGAGGGCAAAAGTCTGTTGGCCAGGGCCACAGGAATGCTCTCCCCACTTAGCAGAACAAAAACAAGCAGCCTCGACAGATGACTGGCACTTTCAGTAATGTGAGGAATAACTAACAGGTTGAACAATGGATGACTTAAGGTTTCAAGACTGAAGGTGGTGAGTAAGGGATGTGGGAAACGGAAACAACCGAGCAGCCCCACATTGCTTTGACGGAAGAAGGCAACACACACACACACACACACACACACACACACACACACACACACAGAAGGGCACGAGTGGCTTGTTGTGTGTTTTCAGGAACATTCTTTCACATCATAAGGTCCTATAATTAGCCGGGAACAGACAGCGTGTCATACGACAATGTAAGCACACAAGGCCAGAGGTGACATGTTAATGTACTGTCGACTGCAGCAGCTATGTCTTTGCATTGTTTCCCTGGACACAATCCAAGTAATGACTTCCATTACAGATTTCACTGACTGGACAACACTGAACCACTGACATGGTCATTGACATCTGCTGCTGCATTGTCGGCAGATTATTTAAGCCCCTAAGGAGATCGGCAACCATCAGATGAGTCTGCATCTTCAACATTCTTCTCATATCAAATATTAGGAGCTACTTTGTGACTTAAATGCCGCTGCATCACATTGACCTGCCCACACTCACCTCTGCTGTTTCTTCACTAACCTTTTAAGCTCGGTAATAAGCAGCACGGTGCAGGGGATGCCCAGAGTCATCAGTGACAATGAGTTGACGACAGGTTTAACAAAGGCCAGCCCAGTGGTGATCCCCGACAAGATGCCAATGACCACTTTGAACCTTGTCCTAAAATTGAAAAAGGAAAACATATCAGACAAACAAAAGTTGCAGCAATGTTGCACTCTGAGCAGAATTGTGAAACTCAGACAGAACATCTGAAAGCTCTTCCCAGAAAGCACTGTAACATTCAGATAATAAACAAGAATCACTCAGCTACCGGGGGGGGGGGTTAAGTGACAGCCTGAAGTGAAAGAGCAGCCATGACGGCTCTGTGAGAATGGAAAGAGAAGTAAAGACATGTGATGCAGCTTTTACTGGTGTCAGCTATCTCAGACATGCCTATTATTAAACAGGCAGTCAGAGCAGTGGCGACACATCATGTGACAAAACAATGTCCCACAGTGGGCCACACTGATACTGTGTGTCTACCTGACATAAAACAGGCATCCGCCTTGAAATTAATTTCATGTGAAAAGAGACAGGAAAAAAACAAAATAGAAAACACAGTGATTTCTTTTGTTTGATTGTAAAAGCATGTCTTTAATTTTGTGTAACGCAACTACCACTGCATCAAACACCTACACCTGTGTGTACACAAAGTTACAGTACACTCTTAGAAATAAAGGTGCTAACTAGAACCATAGAGGATTCTTTGGCTTGTCCTGATAGCAGAATCCTTTTTGGTTCCTGGTAGAGCCTTTTATTATGGCGCCACCTGGGATCTCTTAGAGGGATCTACATAGAGCCCCACATTATGGTTTTACTTGGAACCATCAGTGAAAGGTTTCACCCGGAACCCCCGATGATACCCCTCTTATGTCAGCATGGAATGGGTTCTGCTTGGTTCCTGCCCCTAATTTTGAACTGTCCAGAGAATTTTGACCAAAAATAATTTAGTTTGGAAACCGAAAATTTGGGTCTTAGCTGGAACCAAAAAGCAACAGATTTTTCATAACCAGAAGTATTTTACAGGTTAGAAAAAGAGGATGAAGAAGGCAACAACAGAGAAGTCAAATGAGAAATTGTTGGGGGGAAAAAAAGGAGCGTGCAGTGGTTTCATTAACAGTTGTTTTTTTTGGATAAACAATAATGAAACAAACATCTGTAAGAACAAAAGCTTGCAGGTTATCAGTGCAATCTGGTGCTGTTCACTTCTGTTGTGCGTTGTGTAACGCCCTCTGAGGATGACACATCTTTGATTACAAAGGTCCTGCTCAGCACTGGTGGAAACATGGGCTGGTCCTGATCTGAACCAGTTCAAGAACCAGAGCTTCTTTGGTGGAATACGGGTATGACAGGTTCTACAGACAAGCAACTATTTGCACCATATGACACTGGCACATGGTGAGGTCTGAAACGAAGGACTCAGTGGGGATGGAGCACCTGCCGCAGCATGCGAATGTGCCGCCTGCAATCATTTTGACTTGACCAGTGGACTTTTGGAATTTCAGCACACTGTGTGCTATTGAATGGCATGGGACGAAGGTAAAGACATCAGCTACATTGTAAACATTACTGTCCCCATACTTCCATGCGTCCTTTATGTTGGCACATTTGTACCCAATAAATGGCACTGGAGTGCAGAGTCAAAGGTTTCACACAACAACACCCAAGGCAGACAGTGGTGGTCTGTGAGGCCATGATATACATCCTGGCATGCAGATGGAGATATCTTTTCACTATTTATTATTATATATTACTAATTTGTTCTGTTCCGCCACCATTTAAATTTCTTTGTCATCGCCTACGATCTTATCTCACTTGAACTACACTACACTGCCCCCACGATGTCTCATGGTACTGCTCCGTTCTGTCCGTATCTGTAAGCTTTCAGAAAATGTGCACAAATATGGACTAAATGAATGCAGAGTATGTACAAAAGGCTCCGTCCGTCTCCACCTACGTATCTAACATTGAGCATATATGAGCCCTTAGTCTTACCAAGAACCCTTGAAGAACCATTTCTCCAAAAAGGATTCTTGAGAAGCAAGTGGTTCTGGGTAAAACCTCAGCTCTTAAGGAGGAAACCTTATTTCCAACCGTGTAGTTAACATACCGATCCCTCCTGAACATCCTGGGTAGGTATCTCTTGGGAAACCACATGGCTATGGCACACATAAGCACCCATAATATGGCCAACTCGTCCAGCATTTGTCCAAGGAAACTGAGGGTGGCGTGAAAATACGTCGACCCAATACCTGAAAGAAAGACACAAAGAAAAGCACAAATGTTTGTCAGAAGAGAGACACCATCTTTAGTTCAGCTCAGTGTGTTAACGAGGCCACAATAATGAGTGTCAAAGGTGATCAGTGAAATCCTATAATGTCTATTTGGAAGTTAAGTCACAGAGTTATATTAGTTAAGACTGGACAGTTTGCATCAGGAGCTAAAAACTTTGCGGGCCACTATGAGCTGTCAAAACTGTGTACTGTCCAGTGAACAGCTGACATGTCCCTGTTTCCATCGATCAAATGGGAAAAGTCGCCAATGTCACCTCTAAATGAGACCAGTTTAAACAGATTACAAGTGCCAAAAACAAAAGCAGCTTAAGAAATGCGCGTCGCTCTAAACAAAGAGCGACACAGGAACAAACAAGTTAATTACAAATAGTTACTTGGAAATCAGCGTTACTGTTACTGGGAGTTTTGAAATTCAGTGGACGGATGGATCAGTCAGTGCCCCTCTGTTATCACGGTCCAACAGACCTTCTGTTATCACAATAATCTGTTGTCATAACAGGAGATTCCTACAGTTCAACGGACTTCTTATCCAAATGGGGGTGCTGCTCCCAGTCAGAAGTTACTAATCATGACAACCTGTCAGCGTGCTCGCATATCACTGGCAGTCAAAACAGAGACCACCTTAACTTTCACATGGAGATAGAGCTGAAACGATTATTAATCAATCAGTGATCTCCAGAACGTTAATCAGCAACTACTACAAACATTAATCGGATCCAACTTCTCAAATGTGTATATTAGCTAGTTCCTTCTGTCCTCTATGATGGTAGATTAAATATTTGGGGGTTGTGGACTGTTAGTTGGACAAAAAGAGGCATGTGAACACAGCTGAGGCCAAAACCAAAAAGGCAGCTAGGTGTTGTTTTCCTACTAGAACCTATGGGGTTGTTTTTCTGCTGCGGTCAAAGGTCGTCCCAGCTACAGAGACAGTGGAGATGAAACCATGTGTCCCCTTGTCAGCTGCGTTTTTGAAGTTTTACAGCCTCCAGATTCTTTACAACAGCCTCAGTAAGAGCTGCTAAGCCACATATATGAGCATTTGCGGTATGGAACAGAAATGTATGATTACTTTGATGACTGGTTTGAAAGGCAGCAGGTGTTGAGCAGGAGACATGGGACTACTCTGACATGAAAAGACAAGATTAATACAAAGCTACACAGTCCAGAATGAGAAGACGTGACCCATTTCACATCTGACCCGTAGTTCAAGCTCAGTTATGCAAATCCCATTCAACAGCTACTCAGTTATCATCCAGTAAAGTCACCTCTCTTTAACATTGGGAGGTCTGTCGGGTTATCTGTGCTGACAGTGCAGCCGGGGTGTTTTCATAACAGCTGTAAGGGAACAAGACACTGTAATCTCTTCAGGACTGTTCTGTTCTTTACATACAGTAGCCCCATTTAGGACTGACATACTGTGTCAAATCAAATAAAATCTAGGCAATAGGCATATTCATCCCACCAATGAATAAGCCCAGTCATGATTAAATGTTTTTCTAAGAGGGTAAAGTGATTCAGGGCAACCTAAAGCTATGGCTGAGGACAGTTGACAGAGGCCACAGCTGAGGAAACCTACATCCTCCTAACAGTGCTGTTGTTGCAGTTTAAGAATGTGGGGCCCTACATACAACTCACATGTGTTGTACAATGTATAATTCATGTACAGCTATTTAGTTGTATTCAAATGTCCTTTTTTTGTAAAAGCACCAATAGCCGATGAAGGTATTTTTCAACAATATCGCAATATTTGATATTTTCCATATCGCCCAGCCCTATATTGTTGGAAAATACTTAAAGAATGCCTTTTATAATAACCAGAGACCAAGGTGACATATTTTAATAGCTTGTTTTGTCCAACTAACAGTCCAAAAACCCCAAATATTCAGTTTACTGTCACAGAAGACTCTGAGAACTGGAAGATGTTCACATTTGAGAGGCTGAAACCAGTGATTTTTTGCATTAAAAATGAGGTCCAGTGTGTGGGAATCAGGGGCATCTGATGGCAAAGGTGGTATATAATATTCTTAACTATGTTTTCATTAGTTTATAATCAAATAAAAATAAGAATTGTTGTGGCCGTTACCTTAGAACGAGCTGTGTAAATCTACATAAAGGAGTGTGGCCTCTTCCATGGAGTACATGTTGTTCTACAGCAACCCAGAACAGAGAAACCAAACACTAACCCCTTTACGTAGAGATGCTGCTACAGGGCCGCTACAAAGTCCCTTCTTCACGTCTCCTTTGCATTTTTACACAGAACTAAATGATGGCGGCATCATGTTGCTCCAGTGTGTGATTTTAGATAACATGCTGGCAGCATGTAATCAAAAGAGGCGTGACATGTAACACAACTGTGTCAGCCTCTAGTGTCATACATGTCGGCAGCGCTTTATAAAGAATAACAACGGCATAACATGGCGATAACAATCATTTACTGTCCCTTTTACATGGCGGCCTATCTCGTCTATTGCTCGGAGGGTATGAGCTCCAGAACTTCATTGTTTTCCCAATGTGCGGACATTTTTGGCTGCTGTTCCTCTTAAAGTTAGCTGTCAACTGCATTTAGCTACTTTTTAAATCTCCCACGGTAGGTTGCAAGTGTAACACATTGTCAAAACATCACACCCGTGACCTGATCCCATCCTACTGACTGTCCCTTTAATATAGACATCGTTTTGGCGCTGCTATGACCACCACCGCCAGCATAAAGGCGAGACAACTCTGTCCCCCAATTCCCAAATTGTACCTTTTCTACAGAATGTAAGGCGCCTTAACAGTGTGAAATTCCCACTTTGAAGAAGCAGTGTAAAAGGGGCTACTAGCTCTGTATAAGGCCACTCACACTGGCCATGCTTGGAAGATGGGAGAAGTTTCAGTTCTGCAACCTCACCACTAGATGCCACTAAATCCTACACACTGGACCTTTAAAGAGTTCATTGTTAATTTTCTGTCAAACTAATTAATGGGCTTATTGTTTCAGCAGTAGTGTATTTTCTCATATAAGATTAGGCCTATTACAATTATACACTACAGCGGATTGGAGAATGTTTTATGCTACAATAAAAGATGCATGAGATGACACATTACACTGTACAAACTGTAATAATAACTGGTTATGTGATTTGTTAGCTGAGGGATGTTGAAGCGAAACTGAGATGATGAATGTCACCCACAAAGCTGAACAGAAACACAGAAGGTCAAAAGGTCATCGCACAACTTACCAACCACAACTAGTAGAATCCATATGAGGTAAATCCCACTGTTGAAATGTGTTGCATATTGGCGGAACAAGCACATTAATATGGGCGGCAAAACAAAAAACAAAAAGTTGCTGATCTGAAATGATAAACAAAGGAAAAGCTATGAGCAAAAAAAATACATCACAGTTGAGCCGATCGTGCAGCTCAATGACATCATGCTTGCCAAAAAGTTTATCAGTGCGCGAGCCTCGCTGGCCTTTAACAAAGTTGGCAGCCAGTGGAAATGAAGACAAGCAACATTTGTACCCTGATGCTAACATTACACATCAAGATGCTGAAGCTGAGAAGCAGCCCAAACTGCCCAAAGTCAGTTTAACTCACAGCTAGCTACAGGCTAACCTGCGAATAAGAAAGCAGTGCAGTACAAAGAAAAACAAAGGCAGAGAAGCTGAGGTCCAGTTAGCTGTGACTGTACACATCACTGTATTATGCAAAAACAAAAAAAGACAGCACACATCGTTAGCTAACGTTCAAACCGACCGTGTTGTAAAATTCAGCGATGCTGGGGTAAATTAGGTAATTGCCTTCACACCAGTCCACCTCGGAGCTGCCAGCCTGCAACTGGTCCCAAAAAATCAGATTAACGTTACTCATGTCTGGACTAGTCCTGTCGGATGGACAGTGCAGAGCAGACAACACTCAAAGAAAAAAAAAACACTCGAGGAAAAGTCACTCTCTGTCGGCTCGTTGCTCATACGCTAGATGTGGACGTGTTGAAACCCGACACGACTATATGCTAAACTACAGAAATCGTCCCTGAGCTGCATTTTAAATCCTCTGTCCTTCCTCAAAGCCTCCTGCTTGTCGTGACGCTCTGTACTGTGCATTGACAGCTGCTCGGTCTGTGGCCAGAGAGTGTGCAAGCGCCGCGAGAAGGTTCACTCCTGTCTGCTTCCGGCTTCGGTGTCACGTGACCAGCAGCGAGATGTGCCTGTATACATCTCGCGGGAACGCGCACCTACGACAGTTGCACTTTGCTTTTCCATTTTGTGATACTTTGCACCTCTACTTAACTTGATTTTTTCGCATCTGTCAGTTACTTTACCGATTTATAGACTGTCATAACACCCAACATGAGTGTTTACAATATGATACTTTGACTAAAAATTAAGCAATCTGACAGTATACTATATAGGCCTAAGTGTATTAAAATCAGCTTCATTCCAACTAGTAACAACATTAAAATGCTGCATTCATGTCTATCAGACAATGTGATATATAAGCTAATAATGCACCAAAATATTATAACGCCCAGGAGGCATCCTGATCAGATGCCCGAACCACTTCAACTGACCCCTTTTGACGCTCTGCTCTGAGCTCCCCCCGGATGTCCGAGTTCCTCACCCTATCACTAAGGCTGAGCCCAGCCACCCCATGGAGGAAACTCATTTCAGCTGCTTGTATCCACGATCTCATTCTTTTGGTCACTACCCAGACCGGTGGTGTTTCGGGCACGTCCCCCTGGTAGGAGGCCCCGGGGCAGACCCAGAACATGCTGGAGGGATTACATATCTCATCTGGCCTGGGTACGCCTTGGGGTCCCCCAGGAGGAGCTGGAAAGTGTTGCTGGGGAGAGGGGTGTCTGGGGTGCTCTGCTCAGCCTGCTGCCCACGCAACCCGGCCTCGGATAAGCAGTTGAAAATGGATGGATGGATACACCGCTAGCAGGGGTTACTATCATTTTTACTCTTAATTTTGATCGGCCCCACTTAAAATACCAAAAGTAGTAGCAAGTTTAGCTGATTATGAGCTTTATTTGAGCTTTATTTACTTATGTAGATGAAAGATACATTCTACGGATACCAGAGGAGGCCAGATGAGGAGGCCAGACTCTGCTCTGGGTTGTATGTGGGGCTTCTCTCCATCTTTGAGGAACATGGTGGTCTTTGGCTCATGGTGGCCCTCAAAGTTGTCTATGGCAGTGGCAATGCTCTTAGCAAGTGCCCTAAGCACCTGGTCGTGGTGCCAGCGATAGCACCCATCTCTGAGAGCTTTTGTGCAGCTGCTAAGGAGATGTTCCAGGGTGTTTCATTTTTACCCCAGATGTGAAAGTTAGCAGGACTTGGTAGGACATCATAAACAGCTTGGACTAAAAACCTGATGCAATAGAAGTCTGCTTTCCAGATGTTGGGCCAGGTGATCTTTCATTGGAGCACATTTTCCCATTGTTCTACTGTTCTCATTCTTTCCTTCTCCCCTGGGGGTATATTATCAATTATATTATTATTTCGTGCACAGAATACAGCACAAAGTGCTTTAAAATTCAGCGGCAGAGACAAAGAGCAAAGAGATAAAACCATACAATTATACAACACCTGTTCAATGAGAAATAAGAAGAAAACATACATTTAAATAACAAAAATAATTAATCAATTAGGCTATATTAAAATGATTTTGAAATGCCATTTAAACTGTCCACTTAGCCATCAAGTAAAGAGTGTTTCATATTTTTGGGGCATAGTAGCTAAAAGTAGCATCCCCAAATCTTTTCATAGTTAGTGACATTAGGAACAGTTAAAAGAGCAGCGGTGGAGAATCTCAGGGTTCATGGAGGGACATAATATAAGAGGGGATGAGGCCATTAAAAGCCTTGAAAACCAATAGATGGATTTTACAATCAACTCTAGAAGATACTGGGAGCCAGTGTAGGTTATGTAAAACAGGAGTAATATGGTCTTTCTTTTTGTTTGTTTTTTCTCTTAAGGTGCAGCAATAGAGGATTTAGGGTGCTTTACTGGCAGAAATAGAATATAGTAGCCTATTCATGCTCTTTGAAAATTGTTAACAAGGTCTGAAATAGATTACCACCAGCTACAAATAAAGGGAGGGGTGTGCCGAGTGGTATTGAGGCAATCTGCAACCTCACCACTAGATGTCACTAGGTCCTACACACTTGTCCTTTAAGTTGGAAATACTTATGTCATGACTGTACACACAGGTGTAAGCTGTTATTGCCTATTTTCACAACAGACATTCTGATTTGTCATAGCAGGAAAAACAGAGGTATTACTAATAACACTTATGATGGCTCTATTCTGTTCAAGTGTTCCAGTACGTCACAACAGCATAAACAATACCAGGACCTGAAGAAGCTAAATGGAATTCAGGCATCATTCATTTTACTATTTTCAGATCTGTCTTTATCCTACTGTGACATGTCACTTTTTTTGTCAGGTAGTGCGTGATGACTCACCGGGATAGCTTACTGCGAGTGAAACAAAGCCAAATATGACTAATAATACTGTTGAACTGCAAAACAAGTCTGTGTTGTTAAGTGCTGATAATCGAGGAAACTGTTCAGTTGTTTTTTCCTTCAAGAGACGTAAGTAATTAGACTACATTAGTTCTAAAGTCTTTGGAAATTTACGGTGATATATCCTTCAGGAATGTGGTATTATTAACAGGAACTGCAGCATTTTCTGTGATGAAAACATGCACAGATCCAGATCGCGTATTACTGTAGTTAAGTGAACTGCTGATGTATTTGAAGATGATTTATCTATAACGTGCAAAGGATTTTTCTCTGTCTGGAGAGGGATGGTAATTATCTTTCAATCACAGCTCCTGATCTACTCTCTGGCACCCTCTGGCCGACGCATGCTTAGCGACTTCATAATGCCCTCTGTGTTGGTGTTATATATATGCTTACATGGTCATGACGCATAACTAGCCTATAAATTATTATAATTAACTAGTTAATGTGTTTATCTTGCTTTGACTTTGTTCAGTTCTTCACCTTTCCATCTCATATGTAGGGGTTACCAAATAGACAAAACAATTGAATAAAGGAATACATATTTTGAGCAACAAAAAAAATCTGTTCACAATTAAATTAAATTAAATTAAATTTTATTTTATTTTGTTTTATTTTATTCATTTATTTTAATTTTTATTCTATTTTATTTATTTATTTTTATTCTTTTTTTTTAAAATTTATTTAATCATTCATTTTGTGTGTCAGTGTGTGTGAGAAATTTGTTTAATAACCTTCAGCTTGAGCCTGTTAAGAAAATTACAACGAGGCAGTTATCGCGAGAACATTTCAGGCCTATGTGAGACCACGAAGCGGATATCCGGTCTCTTTCCCGTGGCGGACCGTCGTAGGGCCGGTTTAGCAAAATGAAGGTACAATGTTTCCCTTATCATAAATCTGTGTTGAAAGCTATTTTAGATAAAATACTTGTGTGTGGTTGATGCCATGATTGTAAACTTTAAAGCGGACTAATTTAATGTAGCGGTCGCGGCTGTAGCACTTAGGATGAGTTTTGATTGTGATGAGTGTCGGCGCTTACGATGCTTTCGGCTAGTGAGCTGTAGAAACATGGCGGCACACTGAGAGAATGTGCACCGAGTGTAAGCTCGGTTAAGTGCAATTAAGAGTTTCCAAACTTCTGTAGCTTACGTTACATGAATATGTCGTGTGGTTCGTTTATAACGTTTACTCTTAAACTGGTTGTTTTAATGCTAGCAGTGTTTAGAGAGCTAACGCTAGCCAGCCGACAGAGGCTATCAGGCCTCCAAGCCACTCATTCTACTTCTGTTTTAACGTCAGCTCAGATGAGCTTACTATAATTATTGTAACTGTATTGTATTATATATTATAATGTCAGGCCCACACTAGTAACACTATCTCTTTCCGCGTCACAGTTATACACAGCTAACGTTACCTGCTATACCGACCTGCGTGAGGACTTTTGGTGACCTGTCATAACCCATGTGGAGCCCAACATGACCGTGTACATGTACTAACAACAACCTTGCAACTTTTTTTCAGCTGAACATCTCATTCCCCGCTACTGGCTGCCAGAAGCTGATTGAAGTTGATGATGAGCGCAAGCTGAGAACTTTCTATGAGAAGCGTATGGCCACTGAGGTGCCTGCTGACCCTCTGGGAGATGAGTGGAAGGTAAAGTGATGCTTGATCTCTTTGGACCTCATTCTGCTTTGCCAGAACATTATAGTGCAGAGTGTATGTGTCAGTCTGACTAGGTGAAAGTTAGGGATGTAACTGTACACAGAAGTCATAGTTTTGGTGCAGGTTCTGTACCCGAGCAGCTAAAACAAATACAGAAAGATAGATTTCCTTCCATGTATTTAAGTGTCGGTGACAGATGAAAGTCTTTTGCCCACCGGCAACTTTGGTTAACCACTCTCATTATTAAATCAAGAACAGTTCTGTATATTGCTGTAGGGATACTGAAATGCTTCCCAAAAAGTTGCTGGTCAGAATGGGTTACAAAAATGTAACTGAACATGTGCATTAGGATTAGTGTTTCAAATAGTTCCACCTGGCTATATGCTAGTGCAAATGCCAGTTGTTTTTCTGTATGCTGCTACATCTAAGTGCATCCTGAAAGCAACTTGGATAAGGAGTTAAGCTTAGTTTGTTTTTCTTCGTCCTGTTGAGAGGCACATCTACCTGATGCTGTGTGTTCACATGTTGGGTGTGTTTTCATTCACGTACCCTTCAAATGACATAGCAACACTGACACACTGTCCTTGTCTTATACACAGCTCTCAGTTACTATTGCAACTGAACGGGAACCCACAGACAGCATCTTATTAAAATGTGACTGACACTATTATGTGACTGACTTGCAGGGGTAGAGGGTAGATCTTGCCCTTGGGAAATTTGTTACCACATAATGTGCATCAGTCGACATACCTTGTATTCTGCAAGCATCTGAGTGTCTGTTTGGTATGAATCCTCAAATCGTTACTTTCCCAGGATATTATGCTGCAGAGTGTATATTTTAGCATGAGTAGTTACAAATGTGTTTTATAGTTATCATATATAATGTGGCACACCAGTAGACCCTTTCTGACTGATCTATAGTCATTAAGGGGGGACAGCGTGTTGCTAAAGTAAC